CAAAGGGGTCCAAGTAGTGGCAGTCCTAGACAAAGCTTCCCCCTTGTTAGAATTCAGTGACCCATCCTGAAGGAACAGACTAGCTTTAGCACAGAGACTAGCTATGCCACCCTGCCTAAACTTTATCTCCAAGTTACTCCATGCTCCTCGGAAGCGTTTACCTTAGACTGCGTTGTCAGTCAGCCCTTACCATGTAATAAGCCACTAGCATTGGGGTAAGGGCTGTTTCCTTCTATATACAGTTCTCATTTGAAAAAAGAGCTTTAGCGTGAGAGAACTTTCTAGAGTGATGGAAATGTTCATATCTTAATAGGGGTGAGAATTACATGGGATTTTCCATGGTAAAATTGTCCAGGCAGATATGTGCATTTCAGTCTATGTAACATTCACCTTAAAATTTTTTACCTTAAAAAAAAAAATCAAGTGGGGGCAGTAAATGGAGGCAGAAGATGAAAAAAAATGGTAATGACACTTGAAGAAGCTGGGTAGCTCCTTTCATATACTGAAATTTTCTATTACAAAAAGTTAAAATGAAGGCAATCAGAACAGCTCTTAAACTAGTCTAGAGCTTATTAACCTCTTAGAGATATAAGCAAAAACCCTCAAAGAGAATAAGACTAGAGAAAGACATGTGAACTGCAGAGAGCATAGACAGTAAGCCCTAGCAATCCCCAATGCTCACAGATGACACAGGATCACCTTGGAAGCCCCAAAGGCCTAAATCATCCATGCTTGCTCCACATATGGCCAAGAAAGTGATCTGCATGTCCAAGGCACAAGGCCTGAACTTCTGAGCAGAGTGCAACCTACAGTTCTAAGGGCACTATACACACACACACACACACACACACACACACACACACACACACACACACAGAGTGTATATAAAGAGACACTGTAAACTAGGAACTAAAACATATACCACAATGCCACTTTTATTGACATGTTACTGTTTTTTTGAAAGTTTCAATTCTTAGGGACTAGAAATCAAAGAGAAATTAGGTACTTAAAAACGTGACATTTTGAAAAATAAACTGTCAAATCTCAGCATGCTGAACCACTGTGTAAAGTTTCAGTATCTGTATATACATTTATTTATTTTTTTGGAGTTGAAGTCTCACTCTGTCACCCAGGCTGGAGTGGGCTCAGGTGATCCTTCTGTCTCAGCCTTCCAAGTAGCTGGAACCACAGGCGTGCACCACCACACCCGGCTAATTTTTTTTTAATTTATCATAGAGATGAGGTCTCACCGAGTTGCCCAGGCTGGTCTCGAACACTTGGGCTCAGGTAGTCCTCTAGCCTCTGACTCCCAAAGTGCTGGGATTACAGGCGTGAGCCACTGCGCCCAGCTGTATATACATTTCGATGTGCCTGCCTATTTCAGGAAAAAGAGACTAGAATCTAGCCACAGACAGAATGTTAGTGTCAACAAGTGGCCAAAAAAGGGAGGACACTCCTCCTAGAGGCAAATAAAACAAAACACCTTTCATCGTTGATCTTACCTTCGGCCCTGATCCAGTCGTCCATGGGGTCCCCGAGCAGGAAATCTGTTCAGGTGGCTCAAGTGAAGTGTGTGGGATGTTTGGAAGAGACTCAGAGCTGCAGAGAAGTAATAGCCAGTGACTCAAAAACCCTAAAAATCTGTCCAGTAACCTCCTCCCTTTCTTTCACTTCTATGCTGAAAGCAACAAACCGAAAGTGACAAGTCTATTCATCCAGGGACCCCCATAAAGCCACACCCCAACAACTGTGCCACTGGTACTCACGCTTCTGAGGAAAAAGGGGGGGAATCCGGTGAGGCTGGAAGATCAACTGAGGCTGAGCTCCCAAGATCCCTTGCTTCTGGCCCAGAGCTGCCACATGCAGAAGGGGAGGTGCTGGGGACTTCAGTAGGGGCTGCAGGACAGTAGCCAGGAAATTCAGGGGATCCCATGGTTGGTGCACTCACTACTTAGGAAACATGCAGTCCCACCCCCTCAACAAAAATAAGGTCCTTGCCCAGCTGTCAGGGCACAGCGGCTTCCGTCCCTCCCCTTTCCAATGCTCATGCTAAGGAGAGATGAATACCTGGTTGGAGAGCGTTTGCACCTTGACGGCATTCCAGGGCACTGCCTGGCCTGGGTTGTATGCAGCCTTCACCAGCACCTTCTCACCCAGCTGGGGCAGCCGGCCCTTCACCACACTGCCAGCATACAAGCCAGGAGGTCCCATCAGGAAAGGGACCCTGGCCAAGCCACCCTGACTGCCCCAATGAGGCCCTTCCCATCAAGATTTCTACACCTTGCACAAAAACAGCAAAGCAATGGCATGGGGGGGGACACCAGCACGGTGACAGAACTGAATCCAGTAAGCATTTCCAGTAGAGGACAAGCCTCGAGCCTACCTTAGCTGAAAAAAGACCTCTTCATCCACCACCCCAAAGTAGTCATGCAGGCTGGTAACAATCCCAGTAAAGACCCGCTGCTTCTCCCCACCCTGTAAGAAAAGAGGACCATTTAAAAGTAACAGGAGCAATCTGGACAAAATCACACTCTGCCACTAGAGTCCCAGCTCTCTCCACACCCAGCTCAATCTACTGCATCAAGATTCACATGATGGGAAGCACACATGCATGGTAGACGGAATCCATCTTTGGGCGGGTTTGGGCTGATTTTTGACTCTCAAGCTTCTTCTAGGATTTCTAGTTCTTTAATTCCAAAAGGTACCCTAAAGACTTTCCTGGAGCCAGAAATTAAGACTCCCCAGTCTAAGTGTTAGTCACCCCCATATTGGCCCACAACCAGGACAGAGGTCAGGAATGCTGAGTACTATCATGTAAGAAATGAAAGAGCACCAGGCATCTATGCATGCTGGGGTAATCCCAAGGCCTGAAACTCACTACAAAAACACCCAACCTACCTGAAGGTGCCTGGCATTTTGGGACAAGTCTGTGGCCACAGGAGGAGTGAGCAGACCAGGAGGAGGGCCCAAAAGAGATGTTGAAGCAGCGCCTATGGGGATAGAGAAGCAATCTCTGGGAAGTGTACCTACCACCTTAAGCGCTAGAGGATACCATAAACCCAAAGCTCCAACCAGCTCCTCCATGGGGTTTCACTGGATACCACGGAGAGCATCTCTTGTTTTCCTAAGAGACATCAGCAGCAGATTGCTCTCCACCAAGGAAACTCCAAAAGTCATGCTTCTGAAAACTAACTCCAGAGCACATCCTTTTCAGTATGAAGCCAGGTAGGGAGAAAAGTGATCACCTGAGAAGTTGCGTCCCCCTGGAAGCGGGTTGATCCGCTGGCGTTTAAACTGGGACATTGGGAATGTGGTTGTCCTCTTTCAGAATCTTGGGGGAAAACCTTCAAATCCGAAAAGAAATAAGTTAACAGCTCATATGAGAAACATCCATGTACTCACAGAAACGGGAACGAATCTTGAGGATACCAAGGAAAGCAGGGAGGCTGGTACTGAGAATGAATGAAGACGATGTATGGAGAGAATAGAGAGGAACAGGAAATGAAATAAGAAGAGCACATATCCCAGTCTGCCCTCACAATAACCCAGCGGAGGAGATACTGTCACACGGCTTTACAGAAAAGGAGACTGAAGCTCCGCGAGACCAAGAGGCTTGCCCGGCACCACACACCCAGCTCGCAGTTCGTGACAAACTGGACTCACACCCAGGTCTCCCACAACTTAGTGCTCCTCTCGCTTTGCGACACCACCCCCAGAGTAGCTGGCGGGGAGGGGGACTGGAAAGACCCTCGGTGACATTCATTCATTCGAAAACATCCGCCAAAACCGTCCACGCAGGGCCCGGAAAAATGGAGGAGGCCGGTGCCGGCTAGGAGATGGAGCGGGCCCTCTCCCCGGAAGCCTGGCCCGTCGTTTCCCTGACGGGCCGGTGGGAAGGGAGCTCCGGCCGGCCGATCGCGAGAAGGGCCGCGCGCGCCCGCCCTCCCGCTCCCACGCTCCGAGCCCTCCGCTCCGGCCTCGGCAGCCGCCGGCGCCGGATCTC